ACCTAAACGCCTTCTTTAGATCTTATACTTGTAGCCGGCTCCCTGCAAACTTCTCGCAGATAAGCCGCAGGTAGCAACTAGAGCAGTTGCAGGTTTAGGTAGCAGCTAGAGCAGCCTTACAGACTACTCCCAGAGCAGTGTGAACTCCTTCCAAGCAGTCCTCCCCGCTCGCTTTTCAGAAGAAGTAGATCTTCTCCCTGCAGAGCCGTCTCCAGGTTCCTGTTTCTTCTCCCACTAGGATTCCTGTAGATCGCCAACCGCAGAGACCTACTGCAAGAGGTCTTCTCCCACACGAGATCTTCTTCTGCTAGGATTCCTGTAGATCCATAGTGATCTTCTCCCTATAGGGCCTTGTTGGATCTGTGCAGGTGGAAATCAGAGCAGCAGCCCCCAAAATTCCTACAACAAGTTGCAGCAGCCCATCAAGCAGCCACTCAACAAGCGACAGTCAAAAATCCCTTCTTTTATGATGAAGTACATAATCAAGATGTCTAATTCTATTTTGGAGGTTAGTTCTGAATCAAAGACCATGAATTCCGTCCAAATAGACCCAGAATTCTCTACCTTTATTATTTATCATAAACTCAATGGCCATAATTCCTTCAATGGTCACACTTCCTTTTTATGTTCGTTTATGAAAATGAAAAAGAAGAATATCTTCAATGGTCAGAATTCTCCACCTTTACTATTCTTGAGCTCATTAATCCTAACCATAGCTCATGAAAGATCCAATTATGACATGGTCATGTCTTGGTTGATCAATCCTATGATCATAGAGATTGGAGAAAATTTCTTGTTTTATAAGACAACAGTAGATTTGGGAAGCATCACGCGAGACTTATTCCGGTACCGAAGAATTTGCAAACTTGTTTGAGATTGAGACAAAATTGTGGGAGCTTCAATTAGTTAAGTGCGACTCAATACTTCAACACACACGAAGTACTGTTTAGTGTTGGATATGTATGATATTAATATATGGAAGTGCCCTCAAGATTCTATGTTGTATAAAAATAATAGTGGAGAGAAAAGAGGATGATCAAGTTCTTGTTTGGTTTAAATAAGAACATAGATGGGATCAGAGGAAGAATCATGATGATGAAGCTTCTCCCTACCATTAGGAAAGCCTTTGTTGAAGTTAGAAGAGAAGAAAGTTGGAAGAAGCTCGTGTTGGCAAGAAGTGAGGATTCATCTAGCACTGAAGGCTCTGATACCATGAAAAAAAAATGAGGAGAAAATTTTCTCTCAAATCTTAATCTCGATCTTAAACTTACGAGGTTACATATATAGGCCAACTATTCCCTTCTAATTTACAAACTTACCAAATATATATACCCTAAATATGGAAATGAAATAATTTTGAAATAAACATAAATAATAAGAGAATAAAACTCATCGAGGAGTTTCCTAAATTTTTTCCAATCAAATCCTCCTATATTTTCTTAGAATTCCACAGTATGGCATATTGATAATTAATGAATATATATCGTATTGCATAATGATAATTAATTAATAGATGAATGTTAGGTATAAGATGTGATGGTCCCATTTTAGTTACCCAAGGGAGAGAAAGCGAAGAATCATAAAAGTGGAAGCGAGGAGCCGAGCAAAGTGGAGAAGAATCGAGAATGTTGGAAAATTGAACTAATGGGAAATGAAGCGAAAGGGTCGGGAAGCTAGGAAGGTAGATTTCACTCTTTAAAACGCCGCAGTCAGAACTGAGCGGCTTGTCTATGGTAAAGGAAGATGGGAAGAGAGTAAGAAACCGAAGGAGAAGATGAAGGATGGCTCGCTGTTTTCTCTTACCATATAACAACATCATTGGGTGCGTCTGTTGAAGGAAGAAGATGAATGGAGGGAGAAGGGAAACCGGTCAAACCCTAACAGAAGGAAAGGGGGCGTCGTTTCCTCTAGAGGTAGCATCGAGTCTGGCACTTGATATTGAAGTCGAAGGAAGAGATCGAAGTACCTACACGCATGATCGTTTAGCGTCCTGTGCGAGGAAGTGAAGAACCAAAACCCTACGAGCAGGCGAGGAAGATGACAACAGGGCTGTCGAGTAGGAAGCTCCTCTTGACTATTCCAAGTTCTTCGAGCAGGAAATCTTTGTGTGGCTTTATCTGTACGAAGAAGAAAAGGAAACATCGAGCACAGAAGGGAGAGGAGCTTTCTCAGGTCTTGCTCTCATAATAAAGTTTAAGACGAAATAAAGTATTTTGAGTTAAGGGAACTGAACCGTGAGGTTAGGGTTTATTCTAGTAATTGATTAATTTTTATTATATTATTACATTAATTATTAATTATAAATTTTAATTAAATCAGGATTCAAGTTATGGAGGTTTGATTTTAAGATGGAGAGAGGGTAGCGACATCAAGAAAGGTTAGAGTTTTATTTTTTTTTCCAAAAGTGTTTATTAGTGCAATGAAAAAACTTAAAGTTTGATTATTTAAGTTCTCAGTTAAATAATGTAATGCAATAATAATTAATAAATTAAATTAAAACATAATTAAGTAAATTTAGGGTTGAATATTGTATACGTTTCAGAAGTGATACAAGTTTAAGAGCAAGCAAATCGTTTATGATCGAGGTGAGTACTCATATTTTTTAGCTATAATAATATTTTATTTCTTCTCAACCAAATACATTTACTGTTATTATTATAGTACCGCATATATATGATTTATAGTTTTATTGAATTTTGTTTATATTGTAAGAATGATCTGTGAGCTCATCTTTGTTTAAAATATTATTGAATTTTGTATAGATATAAAATGATATATGTATGCTAGTGATATAATAAGATTCATTGATAACATCTCAAATGTTAATATTGATTTATTAAAATATTAACTGACATATATTTTATTTTCTTTTTTCTTATATTGCTGTAATTTAGGAATATGAGTATTTACTGGCTCTTTTAGCTCACTGATATTTTTAAAATAACTTTTCAGCTTAATTTAATTGATTAAGAGATGAGCGAAAAAATGAAAAATGTTTATAAAAGATACAGACAACCACACATGAGGTAAATTTAAAAACATTAATTTAATTTAATTTAATTAGTGGTTCTTTCATTATATTAAATGAACATCGAAATTTTATTTTCCATCTTTTGACCGTTTGTTCATGTCTTGGTTAATTCCTAGATCGGGGTCGAGTCGTGATAAAAGTGTTATCAGAGCACTGTTTAAGAATAATTAATTAAATCGTGATAAAAGAGTCAAAAGAATAATCATAAGAAAATTTTAATAGTAATAAAAATTTAAGTTAACTCAAATTAATAATTATTTCATTTCAGACACCGAAATTTTAGGAGAAAGGAATCCGATAGAAAATTTATGGATAACTAATGTTGACCTACTTAATGAGATGTGACTTGCGGTCCATTTATAAATTTTGAAACTGAAATTTTTATAAGTGGGGAGGATTGCGACGGTCCTGTTTCGGTTACCTAGGTGAGAGGAAGCGAAGAATCATAGAAGTGGAAACAAGGAGTTGAGCAAAGTGGAGACAAGGCAAGGGTCGGGAAACCGAACTAATGGGGAATGAAGCAAAAGGGCAAAAGGTCGGAATAACCCGTGTACTTAGCTTTGTTTAAATTATTATTGAATCTTGTACTAGAATATTGAATGTTATGCAAATGATAATGAAATATTTATTTTTCAAAATATGATATTTTTTTTAGTATGTTTGTATGTGCATGTTTGACTATAATGGAGTTACATTTTGATGGTACTAGTGAGAGAACACTAAGGTACATGTACATGTATGTGAAAAAGGACATTTATATTGAAGTATCTTAAGTGACATAATTTTAAGACAATGCTCCTGTGATGATTGTATAGATATATAAGTATATTAATATGCTATTGATATAGTAAGATTCATTGATATCTTCTTAAATTTAATAATGATTTTTTAAAAGTTTACTTGGTATGCATTTTGCTTTTTTTTCTTACATTTTTGTAGTTTAAGAATATGAGTATTCACTGACTTGTTTAGCTTACCGTTATTTTTAAATTAATTTTTCAGGTTAATTTAATTGATTAAAAGATGATCGAGAGAATGAGAAATATTTATAAAAGATGCAGACGATTAGTAACAAGGTAAATTTAAATATATTGCTTTAATTTAATTTAATTTACTTGGTGACTTTTTCATTTTATTAATAACGAATTTTAATTTCTCACCGACCGATCGTCTTTTTTCTTCTTGGTTAATTCCAAGGCTCGGGTTAGGTCATGAAGAAGATAGAATAGAAGTGAGGATAACCTAAATTTTTATATTCATTGAATGTCTTTATTACTACTTTAAGACATCATATATAGGGTAGGTTCGTTAATTGCGCTAAAGTATTTTAAGCTTCTACGACAAGAAATAATGTCTTCCTATTACATAATTGAATCATAATTTAAATATGCTCAAAAGCTGAATGAACATGTGACAAAGTTTAATTTGGAGAAGATTATGATGACGGTGTTGTACGTATGGAAAAGTCAATGATCTATATAAAATACTGGGAAATATTCCCTGATCAGATTTTTTTTCCCCATGATTTCGTTTTTGCTTATTTTTATATGTAGACAAATATACATACAATACAACGAAGCATTCCTTATGTTAAATACAAAAGCTTGTTCTAGTTAAATGATTTTTTTAGTGCCCTCAGGCTTTCATACTTATAATAAGAGAAACATATTTTATTTTCATGAACACATCCTCGGTAGGAGTATTTTAATATCATTTTTCTTTCTCTACATTTTCCCCTTATGAATGCCGCCTATCCAACTCTTTATTGAAGTTTGATATAATTTTTTGTTCGTATCTTGATCTAGGATTGTATGTACAAAGCAATAATTTTGTTTTTCTTTTTGGGAGATTTAATGAACCGGTCAGTAAAGATAAGCTCATTTAGTGTGTAAGCTATGTGTGTATAAAAAAATGCATACTAGTGTATAGTTCTCTTCCTTATCTGTAGTCTTAATTATACTATTATTAGGTGAGTTTGTGGCAAGTGGCAGTGATGATGGGAGATTGTTTATTTGGGAGAAGAGAACAGGAAGACTGGTTAAAGTGCTTCTTGGAGATGAAACTGGTACCTTTTCTCCCTTGGTCTGTATATTTTTCTTTTAAATCTTTTTCTATGTTAAACTGTTCTTTTCCCTAGTTGTCAACTGTGTCCAGTGCCATCCATTTCATTGTGCCATTGCAACTAGCGGAATCGATAGTACAATCAAGGTAAATATTATTGACATCCTGTCCAGTTATTTTCAATCATGTATCATAAAAGCCAGGGGCATTTACTTTCATAGCACACAATTCTTACATATTTACATATCTCACATCTAAACTTTACACAACACTCAAAACTTTAATAGCACATCAAAATAGGACTATTACCACTTTTCATGCATAGGTTTAAGGCACCAAAGTGTAATGTATGTAAAAATGAATTTTTTGGTCTGAGATATTTAATACCTAGGTATGTTAATTTCCCTAAAAACTAATGTTTAACTGGACATTTTGTACAGATGTGGAGCCCACTTGCGCAAGTTCCCTCAATGGTTGCTGGAGGTGTAGCAGGACCAGAGTCTGCTGATTTTCTTAGCCTCATGGAAAATAATCAGCACAAGTTATTGCATAATCGTGAGACTTCTTTGTAAGATATCATTTCACTCATATGACTGAAATACTAGCTAACATTTTTGAACTGATTAGATTTTTTATTTTGCATAAGTCATAATTTTCCATATTCAGCTTGATATTTTAGTTATGCTAATTATCTGCTTTGTACAGTTACATCAGTTACAAAGTAGGAAAACATTTTTTTATAATTTGTATTCAAATGTGATATGAGGTTGTTTGTGTACAAAATTTCATTTGGTATTAACATGCTACAATCATTATTTGTTAGGGGCGTTTACTTACATACCACTCAATTCCTATGTATTTACATATCTAACACCTAAACTTTTCTTTTTTACTTAATACCACCCAATTCTTTTACATATCACATAAAAAAACCACCATTCTAACTTCCGAATAGTGAAATACACCTTTTTATGCATAGGTAATGTGGCTTGTTTGTAAGAATTGAGGTATAGGTGTTAGATTTGTAAATACATAGGAACTGTGTGGTATGTATGTAAATCTTCCTTATTGTAAACTTCGGAGGATTGTAGAGGGTGTAATTTACTTGTACACAGCTATTTAATAATCTGCCTTCCATTGTTTTCGTTTCTAGTAATAAAGGGATCGCTGCCGGGCTTTATTAGTTCTCTAGTTTGGAATGTAGGTCTCATTTTGAATAGGCTGGTGTAAATTTCTTCACAATGTAGACATTTTAAACCTGATTCGTGAGATTAATTCGTAGCTACTTTAATCTTTATCATTGAGCATTTGTCAACTTTGTTTAGATTGGGGGTAGCTAGTTTTATACTTCTAATAGTTAATTTTACAGAAAACTACCGTTTTTTTTTTCTTTTGTCAAGCATTCTCTACTCTGTTTATTCCAATTCTGCTTTACAAAAGAATATTATTTCTGCTACCTGTATCTGTTAATTGACAGGGATGCCGCTCATTGTCTTTTTTACCAATTTTTTTGTTTATTAAATTTTTTACAGGCCTTTTGACTTCCTTGAGAGATTTAGGATGCATGAGTTTGCTGAAGGAACCTTACATCCTTTCGAATGTGCTCAGAGCTGATTATTGGGATCATACCTCTTATCAACCTCCATTTTTTTTCCAAGGTGCATAGTTTTATTTACAATTATATTAATCATGAATTTTGATCTAGATGCTATATATTTGGTACTTCATTTTTTAAATACACGGTTTTATTGATGGATGATTGTTGTATCAGATTGTCATTTTCTAGTTCACAGTAATGGGATTGTAAAAGTAGCTTTCATCTCCTTCAATGGTAATGTTAACCCATATATTAGGGATAAATGCGTAGAAATTAGTTATCGGAGTAGTTCAATTGAGATGCAAATCAACAACTGCTAATAATATATTATAAAGTTGTGATGTAGAGTGGCATGATGGAAGATTTGCAGAAGACTCGAAGTGTTTAGGCACTAGTGACTCGGTTTAGCTTCAAATCGGGTAGTTGAAATGAAGCTTGGGTATTGAAATACCTAGTGTTTGGCTCTTAATCATAAGCTATATTTTTTGGGTTGAAAGTAGGTTGGCTACTAATGTATCTTGCTCAACTATAATCTGATTTTTGGTTCACTCCTTAACTAAGTGATATCAGAGCCAATAGTTTAATTGAGATTGAATGATTCGTGTAGTTTTTGGCTTCCTTATCTCTTGAATGGTTTTTTTCTTGACTGTGTCAGGTTCAACGGTTGGTGACTACCACGCTGCCACCATATGATTTTGTGGGCTCTTGCCATGATTATCAGTGATTTTGAAAAGTTTTTATTTCAGGGAGAGTGATGACACTTTTTTTTGTGGAGGTGTATTTGAAAAATGTGGTCATAGAAATGCCAAGTGATCAGTTCTTACTCATAAGCCCGAGCTTTTTGGTAGAAAAAAGTTTGACAACCAGTTTATTTGACCAAATCATGTCCTCCATTGGGTCATTCTTCTCACATGAAGCAGTTGGTGTGGAATTAATTGATCGGTCCTTACCCATAAGTCAGGAGTAGTATGCTAATTTTCTTAAAACAAAATTGATTTGAGTTTAACAAGAGAAATGCTAAGAATTATGAAAGAAAGAAGAAACGACACAAGCCAAGAAAAAGATAGTGTGGATCTCAATTATGAAGCACTGAAAACCACAAAATAGTCATTTAGAACATCTTGCTTGTAGTCTATGAATATCACAAGCTAAGAAAATGGTAGCTTGAAGGTCAAGGATGAAGCATCTTATGGATCTTGAAAACTACAAAATACTCATTTATAATGCTTTGATTGTAGTCCATGAATATAGGGGAATGGCGGTGAATTTTTTTTATTCCCATCATGAGGAAATGCAATCTAAACCAGAGTGATATAAGGTTCTATGGAGGAGTCACAATGAGGAGATCATGTTAGCATTTACATTGGATGGTCACTAGGATTGCGATGAGAATATTTTAGTGTAATTTGCTCCTGAAGGTCTTATGATCACAAGATGAGGGTCGTTAGGTTCAACCCTTCTACTGTTATTTTGAATTGTTCTCTTAAAAACTTTGTCTTTTGTGGTAGCAAGTAGGTGACCATTCTTTCAGTCTTCTTCCTTATTTTGTTGGATTGTTACAGAGAATCTAACTTTTTTTTTTTTTTAAATATGAGAGAAAATAATTAATTTTTTTCAAAATATGAGCGGGAATGATTAGAAGACTTTGAACATTCTAATTTAAACACTATGTTGAATTTTGATGTTGATAAAGGTGGGAATTATGGTATTTACATCACTTTTAATTTTTAGTAAAAGATTCATGACTGCAATTTTCGTTAAAGAACCCAATTCCCTCAAGCATTAGAGGTTTTAGGTGTAAATGATCATCTCTAGGTGTTGCTATAAAAGAGAAAGAAACATCTATTAGTTCTTGGTTATTTTTAGAAATTTGCTATATTTGTGTTTGTGTAACTCACAAATATCACAATAAAATTCTTTAATAATATTTTTTTTTGAATGACAAGGGAAACATAGTTTTAAGAATAACAAAAGAATGATGACTAAGATGTGGTGAAATTGTATCCTTTCCTTACAAAAATTAAACCTTTTGGAAGGGAAGGATTACACTATAAATTGTGTGGAGCTTCCTTGATTATTAAATTCCTTTGGGTGGTAGAGATCCTCTTTTTCTTTTTTAGAAAGCCCAATCATCCTCCTTGTCCTGCTCCTAAAATACATAATATGAAGGATAAAAATAATGCTGCATTTTTTAATCTATATTTAGCTTTTGGATAGTTAACATCTTGTTGAATAATTTAGATACATAACGGATATTTTGAACTGTGAGAAGTTTTTTTATAACAATGTCCTTTGGTCCGCCAACAATAGTTAAGAATCGATTAGTAATAATTATTTTCTTTTTGCTATGATAATGAGTAAATAAAACAATGATCTAAAAAATATTTAATAGATTGAAGTATTTTGTTATGGATCATTCTCGTTGCTTTGTTGATGAGACCTTGGTTTTGATCTTGTGGATTTAGTTTGCATCATTTACTTTAGAGTATGCCATATTTTCTTTATTGAACGACAGAACATGCTTGTGTCATTTTGTTTAGGAACTATGAAATTCCCAAACAAGAGCATCACTATAGAATCTCATTCATCTGAGCGTTGAACTTGAAGTTGCTTTAGAAAGGTTTGGTGTCTAATAAATTGTAACAACTCATATTCTCACCCATTCTAGTACTATTCTTCCCTAAGGATGCTTAACTACAAAATTATGACCAGATCCGGTGACCTTAGGATGGGTCACATCCTTGGAAGCTACATTTCACGACCCGTTCCAAGTCCTTGGAATTACGAAGGCGGAACTGTCGGTTGGACGGATGAAAACAATCTAATAATTTCATTTTTTAATTAAAATAAAATCCTAAGCACAAAAGAGTCATTTTATTTATAAAATTTAACTTATAACAAGTTCGAAAATATTTTTAAATACTTATAACTAACAGAAAATAAAAACTAACATATAGCACCCATCAGCCTGCATTCTTCGACGCTTGTACACATACTCTCAAGGATCTATCTAGCAGTTGCTAAGGAGCAGAGAATTTTCAAATTGAACAGGTGTAGTTTTAACCCCGAAAATTTTATTTTAATTACTTAATAGCTTCATAGCATCAAAATCTTTCCGAATTATCTCAAGTTTTGGGTGACCATAAAGAAATTTCCCCACTAGAGCAAAACGCCAAGAAGACGCAAGAGTACTACTGGTTTCAACCTCAGAGAGAAAAAAAAGCAGGTTTCCCATTTTTTTACCAAGCTTTTTAATGAAAGTGTGATCACCACGACCATCAAGAGCCTCGTGGAAGGATTGTGGAACATTGCAGGACTTACCGATACCAAAACCAGGCTCTGAACCTGAAAGAGGGGTACGAGTAGGATTAGGAAAGTCGCAGACAAGGGCAGTGGCATAGGAACGGAGCGTCGAGGCCATCTACACAGGCCAGATGACCACGCTCAGATTCTGAGCGGCTTGGCGAGCCGTGACAATCTGCGAGGCGACGCGAGCAGACTTTGGGCGCGTCCAACTGCGAGACGAAATCGTCTGTCGAGCAGGGAATGTGAGCAGACAAGCGTGTCGTCGATTAGGATACGACGTATGAAAGGAAGACGTGGGAAACAGGAAGACGTTGTGATCGTCTTCTGGTAAGGCGAGCAGTCAAACGCCATCGGGCTGGAGAAACAACTTGCTAGCGAGCGTCGTTGACTGAGAGAGAAGATCTGCGAGCATACATGAAATCATCATCGTGGGAGATGACGGAGAAGAGTGAAGCCGATAGTTTCGACTTCGGTAATCGCCATTGGGCGAAACTCTAGCAGAGCCCGCTACCGATGCCATCATCATATTATCTAATTAGTCTTATTATTTTTTTTATACATATATATATATATATATTAAGGAAAAGAGCATCTCGTGGCTCTCTACGTGTTAATATAAATTAAAAATACAAAAAGAGGGAGGGAATAAGGATCCTCGTCTAAAAACAAAATAAAAATCATGCGGTTCTTTTATCCACATTACAACTCCACACCAAAAGGATTAAAAGGAAAAAGTGTACCCAAAAAAATATTAAATTCAGTATACCAAAGTAATCGTATACCCCACAAAAGATGTACACCAAAAAATTAAGAAAGAACACGAAGACCGAGTGAAGAGCTCCAGGCGGCAACAGCATCACAAGCGTCTGAGTTCTACGAAAGAAAACCTGCATTAATAATGACAAAGGAAAGAAAGAGGGCCCGTGAAAGTAGAGATTGAGTTAATGAAGCCAATAAAACCCGTAAACTCAAGTGCAAAAGCTAGCACCCAAAGAAAGTACCACAAAACCAAAAGTAGGTACTGTCATATATATAAGGTGAGCGGCAACCACCACCCCAACTGAGAGCCAATAGAGTCTGAAGTAGGAAAGGAAATATAAGGACAGCCCTAATGAAATTCAGGGCCAAACCATACCACCAAACAGATAATAACAAGCTAAGAGGAGACATCCCGACGAACATATGGGGCATCAATCTTGTCACCAACCAGCAAAGTGTTTAAAGATTGGGGGATCAAATCTCACCCAACTGTTACTAGTGGCGCTACCTAAAATAGCAAGTCAATTTGCGGGTTGATTTCCCTTCCAATAATTGAAACTTCATATCACATTCATATTAGAGATTAGGTTTTTAATCCTCTTAATATAATAGAGGATCTCTCAAGGGGCCTCGACACCATTGGCAAAAATGTCAACCAAAGATAATAAAATATCAGCTAAGAGAGTGAGCTATAATGACAGCCATCAAGATGGCCTGAGCCTCCGCCTCCATAGGAGTGTCAGCGTAAGAAGTAAGAGGGGGAAGAAAAGAAAAGAATACAATTCCCAGCAAAATTCCTAGCAATGCCCTCACAGCCCGCACTATTAAATTTTCAACTCCCATCGATGTTAAACTTTACCCAACCCCTGGGAGAAGGCCTCTATTTCACCAAAACCGGGAGAAGAGGAGATCTCCTCTCAGCCATGACCACAAGCCCCATAGAAAGAAAAAAGTTAATGCCCGAAAGAAGCTTTGTTTAGCATTACTCATCCTTCA